CAGAGGTAAACACCAGAGTAGTACGAGGTAAAATACTTCTAGTGTCAGAGGTAAACACCAGAGTAGTACGAGGTAAAATACTTCTAGTGTCAGAGGTAAACACCAGAGTAGTACGAGGTAAAATACTTCTAGGGTCAGAGGTAAACACCAGAGTTAGTACGAGGTAAAATACTTCTGGTGTCAGAGGTAAACACCATAGTTAGTACGAGATATGATACTTCTAGGGTCGGAGGTAAACACGAGATTGCAATCTGTTTGTCGAACAAGACTTTACTGTGACTATGTGAGGTATAATAACCACATAACGTAAAGGCAAAAATCGAATATATACGACTCTATACTTATTTTTGTGAATTTAGTTGCAGCTAACCATAGTTTCGGTTTCACAACATTTTAAAAATAACATGTTTTCATTTGAAGATATTTAGAAGGAATAAAGCGATTCATCACAAATGAAAGAAAGTATGGATCCTACTACCCGAGCCTGGGGTGTTGTTCGTTTGTTTGTTTTTAGAGAGTTTCCTGAGATGTGGTACTGACCATGACACCACGTCCGTTTTTTTCTTTAATAAACTGGCTCTGAACAAAGTGCAGGCTTTTTAAAAACTGTCACTGGGACTATAGCCTGTACCCTGATAAGCTTCTTAATATGTACAGCGTTTTTGTTGTTGTTGTTAAGGCTTGTTTAGATAATTAAACTGTTTGTAATCATAGATTTGGTCTTGCTGCTTTTAACGCAGTCCTTCGTTTTGATGTGAATATTTACTTTTGTGTTGAAATTATGTTTTTACATATTATATATATATATGCCATCCAGTGGCAGATTTACGTTAGATAGTTTTATATTAATGTATGCATTTGGTATATCTTACACAAGCTTCTGTGTTTTTTATAATGTAAAAAGGCTTGCACGTTTAATGTAATGTTCATAAGTTTATGCATTCAATATATTGTACACGAGTTTCTGTGTTCAATATATTATATAAAGGTTTGTGTGTTGGATATATTTTATATCAAATTCCTGTGTTTGATATATTTTACATAAAATTTCTGTGTTTGATATATTCTACATAAATTTCTGTGGTTCATATATTCTACACAATTTTCTGCCCCCCCCCCCCTCCATGGGCTCAACGGTGAGTCTGAAGGCTTATAATGCTAAAAAAGGAGTATCGATACCCGTGGTAGGCACAGTACAGATAGTCTATTGTATGGTATTGTGTTTAACCACAAACAGACAAACACAAGTTTCTGTGTTCGATATATTCTACACATGTTTGCATGTTTGATCTATTCTAAACATGTTTGTGTGTTTGATATATCCTACACATGTTTCTGTGTTTGATATATTTGACTTAAGTTTTTGTGTTTGATATATTCTACAGATGCTTGTGAGTTTGCTATATTTTAGACATATTTGTGTGTTTAATATTTTCTACATAATTTTATGCATAAATCAATTTTCTAGGTCAAATGAAGCTGTGGTAAGAAATAAATGGATACTAGTTAATGATGAGTATAAAAGTTACACTATTAGGGATTCTGGTTACTAGTTAATGATGAGTATAAAAGTTACACTATTAGGGATTCTGGTTACTAGTTAATGATGAGTATAAAAGTTACACTATTAGGGATTCTGGTTACTAGTTAATGGTGAGTATAAAAGTTACACTATTAGGGATTCTGGTTACTAGTTAATGGTGAGTATAATCCCTAATAGTGTAACGTTTATACTCATCATTAACTAGTATCCAGAATCCCTAATAGTGTAACTTTTCTGGTTACTAGTTAATGATGAGTATAAAAGTTACACTATTAGGGATTCTGGATACTAGTTAATGATGAGTATAAACGTTACACTATTAGGGATTCTGGTTACTAGTTAATGATGAGTATAAAAGTTACACTATTAGGGATTCTAGTTACTAGTTAATGATGGGTATAAAAGTTACACTATTAGGGATTCTAGTTACTAGTTAATGATGAGTATAAAAGTTACACTATTAGGGGTTCTAGTTACTAGTTAATGATGGGTATAAAAGTTACACTATTAGGGATTCTAGTTACTAGTTAATGATGAGTATAAAAGTTACACTATTAGGGATTCTGGTAGCATGCTAAGACATTCGAGGGTCACGTGATTTCTCATTTTGTTCAAAGTTTTCTTGGAACTGGCACTATCAGTGAAATAGTCACTCGTTAAAAGCAATATTTATTAGATAATACCAGAAATGCAGTCAGTTGAATTTTCACACTGATGACTAACTTGAGAAGATTTATGCGTGAATAATGAATCAGAGGCCTTTAAATAAAAGAAAACGTATAAGGTATTAATGCTAAAGAAAAGAAACCTTTCATTCTTCAAACATTAGGGCGGTAATACATGTTTATAAACGTTAATCCATACACTTAAGTTTAACACTTAAAAAAATTAAAGTTTTTGTTATAAAATATAACCATATTAACTGGTAAGCCGAGACTACCATTGGTAGATCAGAGGTTATAGCTGGACTGGTGGCTCATCTCTAAAGCAACGCAGACTGAATACTGTTAAAATCTACCCATCTTTTCTATAGAATTTATAAATCTTATTTTCCTTATTGTAATACAGCAACATAACTGAGGTCACGGATGTTGCACAAGAGCTCTTGTTAATGGTCATTAGTTAATATTCTCGACAGACTGGTGTATGGTGAACATTTCCAGAGAGTTGTTTTTTCTGCATTCTCTTGAGATAAACATCTTACTTATTGTATACCAGAATGCAATTGAAGTGAAATATGTTTATATTCACACGAGGTTGATTAACTATTCTTATAACCTTGTTTTTTATAATAGCCACTTCCTAACTTCACATGTTCGTAACGAGAGTATTGCAAGAAAAAACTACATAATATTCTCACTATATGCTATTAGTCAACTCCAAACAACAGTCTGCTTTGTATATTCATAATACTAGCTTTAGCTTTCTATTGCTCATATGTACTTCTTTCATTATTGTCGTACCTTTCCCATTATTTATGAATTCCAGTCTTAAGCGAAGATAATAAACCTTGTAATCTTATGTGCTAAAAATGTGAAATGTATTTTTACCTGTTTATTCATATAACTCAGATGTTATTTGTTTCACATTTCTATTGCAATATTTCATTTCTATGTTCTTGTTTATTATATACCATGATGTCACGTGGCATAAGATGCTGTACTTTTTACACTTTTTGTGAAGGCGAGACAATATTTCTCAAAGCAAGTAAGAAAAGAATGTTTGTTTCATATAATGAAGCACTAATTGTGCTAAGGATTTCTAATTTTGAGCCCTCCAGTGGCACAGCGGTATGTCTGCGGACTTACAATGCTAAAAACCGGGTTTCGATACCCGTGGTGGGCAGAGCACAGAGATCCCATTGTGTAGCTTTGTGCTTAATTCCAAACAAACAAAGAAATCTAATTTTGAAACGATAAACTATATAAATAGCAGCTAGTCAACAGCATTCATCGCCAACTCTTGAGCTAATCTAACCGAATAAAAAAATTGACTATCACTTTTATGGTGCATACACTATCCGAAAGTGGGAAGAGCGATTTTTGCAGAAGCGAGACGTGAACAATGAACCTTCGGATTCACAATACCGAAAGCTTGCCACTGGGCCACACTTATTCCAGGAAGAGTGAAGAGTCATCTCAATCAATAATGAAACAAATCTCTTAGCTATAGCCTTAAAGTAAACTCAAAGCTGTTGTGTTTTCATTTTACTTACGTATCTCTGTTTCTGAGATCCAAAGACAGAAATGATAGGCAAAAAATAATATAGACTTGAAAGATAAATGACATGCCAAAGTAAAACAGCTTATAAAATTTGATCGAAAGCTTATTTTCTAGAATCTGCTATTGGCGATGATGGGGCTGGAATGTCAAAAGCTTAACATTTCTAGCCGTCATAACCATACAATTGAACGTAAAATATAAATCAACAAACATGTGGGCTGTATTCTTACACCACAACTGTAGAAAAACAGTAAGGAATAGTTCCTTAAGTGACGTAACAAGTGCTAGTTCTGATGAATATAACAACTTATAAAACGTAGTCTGACTTTTAGGCTTAGGTAATAAAATGTAAAGATTTGAAGAAAAAAAACAGTGTATTGTAATTTATGAGAAAGTTTCGCCAATCCCGACAATTTGTTTCTCAAATATATATATTTTTTCATCCTCTATTGCTCCCCAGTGGTTAATCGGTAAGCCTATTTGCGACGACAAAAATCGGGTTTCGATACCCGTGCTGGGAAGAGCACAGCTAGCCCACTGTGTAGCTCTGTGTTTACCAGAACCGAAACAAATAATCCTCTATTAATTAAAAATATACTATTACAAAACTTCTTTCTCCCATTCAGTATTCTATAAGTGAAAATTTATTTTCAGTTTACAGTTATTTTTAAATCTCTGCTCGTAATTTTCTAAGCAACCTATAATAATTGCTATCAAACCAAGTAATTGAATTTCGAAAGAGTGAAAATCTAAGTTTTTAATAACAGGTGGTGTTAAATATGACGACTGCACCATCTTAAAATTAGTTTTGTCAGTTTGTTTGTTTGAAGTTAAGCACAAAGCTACACATTGGGCTATCTGTGCTTTGCCCACCACGGGTATCGAAACCCGGATTCTAGCGTTGTAAGTCCGCAGACATACCGCTGTGCCACTGGGGGGCTGGTTTTTGTCAGAAGTCTGCGCAAAGCTACACAAGAGCTATCTGCGCAAAGCTATCCCTAATTTTGAACTGATAGACTAAAGGGAATGCTGCCAGCCAATTGACACACAGCCAGCCCTGGGACTACTCTAATCGAATCAAAAGATTTCACCATCCTAAAGCGCGGAACGCACTTTTGCAGCAACAGTCCATGAACCATGAATTCTCCGATTCACAGACAAGTCACGCTAATTACTAGGGTACACCCAAGACATTAAAATAGGTAAAATTTACTATAAATGCAAAATATAAAAATGTATATAACTTTATGTTTAAAATATATAATTTTAAAATCATTATTTGATTGGTATAAAGAGAAATATTCAGTTGCGTTCGTAGTAAATATCGAATAAGGCCTTTATATCATTATTAAGTAAGACCTATCTCTGCACTTATGAACATGAGGTATATAAAATAGCTTTTGAGAAGAAAAATTCTGACAAAACCTCCTTTATTGTGATTTTGCAGTTTTAGATACATTATAATATTTATTCTTTTTCTGAGGAACTTGTTTGTTTGAAATTAAGCACAAAGCTACACAATGGGCTATCTGTGCTCTGCTCACTAAGGGTTTCTAGCGTTGTAAGTCCGCAGACATACCGTTGTGCCACTGGGGGGGGGGGGGGCTTGTGAGGAACACGTGAGATGAATAGACAATATTTGTACTCCATAGGTTAATTCCAAATATTATTTTTCAATTAAAGTCATTTTAAATATTAAGATTATAATTGTTTTCTTAGTGCAAAGCTATACAATGTGCTATCTGCACTACGTCTACTATGAATGATCGAACCCCGGATTTTGGGGTAGTAAAGCCGTAGACTTACCACTAACTCACCGAGGGGCAAAGGTTTAAGAACTTTGAAAAATATGGAGTTACATGCATCTTTCATTACATAGTTGTCAACTAATTAAAATAAAAGAAAAAATCACTCATGACACCTTAGAATATTACATCAGTTTTTGATTTTCTCAGTTATAAGTAAATAAGACTCTATTGATAGAACTCTGCTATTAGATAACAACTTATAAAAAAATAGCCAACTCTTATACATAAAAAGCGTTTACAGGACACGACAAAGTAAAAAAAAGACAGTAAAATAGTAGATCGATAATCACATATTATTCAAAGACATTCAAAAGTGAACTATTCGGTAAAGTTCAATTCCGACTTCGAAAGTGAATTTTCTCTATATACATTTTAAATGTTTTCTTTCCTTTCATTTCTACGTAAATTATTGTACCTCTTACTGCTTTCACGCACGCATGAATAGACTATTAGAACTTCCAAAGAATGCATACTCGGCGTTTTTATGGACAAGCCAAACACAATGTGGAAATGTCTAAGCTGCCAATCTCAGTTCTATGGGTGTACAGGTCAGAATTCAATAAGATACAGTTGGATTTCGTATTAAGTACTAAATATTCAACGTAAACGAAAAGCAACTGCAGAAAAAATTCTGGTTTTTGTGAAATATTATCACACCATGCTTTACAAATAATGTATATACGAGTATTTTTTCGGTTTTTGTCTTGACGTGAGAATAATTGTTTTTTCTGTTGAATTTCGTGATGTTTCAACGTTTATATAAATCACCACATTTTTTTAGTGCCAGGGTAATAGAAAACAGGTTTGCGTATTTGATAAATGTTCAGTATAAATCTTTATTAAATATAATGTTCTTCACTCAAGTTCGAAAAATTTAAAGTTTATTTTATTCCCAATGAGCTATTGCTGTGAATTTGTTAGGGATGTTAAAGGTTTTCCACAGCAAAATATTAACTTAAAAAATTGTTAAAAATTGTTAAAAACAATGAGTGTTAACCTTCGATGCAACGTTATTCCAGATATTTTTGGAGAAATCGTTAAAAAAGTTAGTTGGAGCAATTTTAAACGGTATTATAAGCAGCTAAAGTTGTGGTTCTCAATTTATAAACCTGTTATGTCCTATGATTGATGAAATATTTTGGGGTGAAACAGAAGAAAAAGTAGGGAATGAAATTAAATGATAAATCAACCTTCTGCTTAACTTTAGGCGCATCACACTAACGTTTATGGTGTATGGAAAGTTAATGGAAAAACAACTTTTCAAAATTTTTTCTTCATATATCGGAAAAGAACGAGAGAGTAGTAAATTTATTCAAGTCTTTATAAAGTTAAAGTTCAACCTCATCTTTTATTTTAGTTTCGATTATATTTTATATTGTAAAGAAATAACAGTTTACCAAAACGTAAGGGTACAATTTAAAACAACAACATTTTCAGTCTTATAGGAGAGTAGTAGACATTTTAACTTACTGATATTTCTTCTAAATATTGTTCCTTTACTGCAATATCTTCCTTCTTTGTTGATTTGTTTTAGAGCAAAGTCACATTAAGCTATTTGCTGTGTACACAGCTGGAAATCGAACCCTGGATTTTAGCGTTGTAAGTCGGTAGATTTATGGCTGTTCCACCGAGGTACCATCTCTACATCAATGAATTGATATACAGACTTTGTTTTATATTAGAATTATTGCTTTTATTTATAAGAACTGCAAATGATCGTCACACGCAATCAAATAGGAATGAAGCTCTAGAAATATCAATAGATGAATTGTATTATTTAGTACTACTCGTTATACAACATTATGCAGCTTACCAGCAATATCTATAAAATTCAACACAAACAACTTACTTTCAGTGAAAACACGGCTTAAAGCCGACAATTCAGCGAGAAAATGAAAAGCAGAAATATGGCTCTTAATCTTAACTGTGGCCTGAGGCTGTATGTGCTTTATTGTTCAGAAACATTAAGAACATGGTTTTCAAACTTTTGATTGCTCGGATAAAAAGGGCGCGAGAACCCCGGGGAAAATGGCACATTTATCAGCAACTCGTGTCCGGTTCTTGACGTCCTCATGTAAAAACTGACGAAACCTTGTTAGCTGCAGAAAGTATCTTTTCTTAAAAGTTAAACTTTTAGGTTTTAGCGAGACGAAAAAAAAAACAATTTCCCTTCGTGCAGCAGTCCATGGATCGTGTAGCAGTCTATGGATCGAGTAGCGGTCCATGGGTCGTGTAGCAGTCTATGGATAAACAAATTAACGATTTACTTGCTTCGAAAATAACATTTCTATCGAATAATTCCGTAGGGTCTTTTATTACTAAAAACTATAAGAATTTTATGGTAATTATAAAATAGCATAACCTACCAAAACGAAATCACTTGTGGAAAAAATACTGATCAAACCAGTTAGTTTAACACTTTATGCTTTTGATAACACCATTTACCAGAACAGTACTATAGGTTTTCTCCACGAACTAACATTTCGTTGTTATTAAATATCATTATTTTTTTAACTTAAAAATGGGATTCCATTATTTGCCAAGAACTTCGATTACCCCGATAATTAGAGTTATATAAAGTAGAACTTGTTTTCTCAAGATTCAGTGTCGTGAGATTTGCTCGGGCATTTCCCCTTTCTTTACTTATATAGTTAAGTACAATAGGGTTGATATGATTTGTATGTGTTAAGTGTTCTCACAGGTGACTGCAACAACAAGGCGTACTAAAATGCCCCCCCCCCCAGTGGCACAGCGGTATGCCTGCGGACTTAAAACGCTAGAAACTTTGTGCATAACTACAAACAAGCGTACTAAAAACAAACGTGAAATTATTTTGTTTTAATTATTTCATCGGAAGAAGCTCGAAGACACTTTAAAATTAATACAAAACCGAAACTGATTAAGATAACAACAAAAAAAAGAATATTAATAGTTTTTATTTTTTGGCAGCAACATTGCCATTTAACATTTAGATATTTAAGCTTAGCTGGATTAAGTTACTCTCCTTGGTAATGAATAAGAATTTGTTAACACAAGTTAAAAAATCCTAGTAGCTGGAATATCAAATAACATATATTATTTTACTTATGTTTATATAATATGTTTTATTATGAGATATCTTACTTTCATTTCATTCATTTATTGGGTTTTATTTTGACACCCTTTTCCTAGTTTCTATATTTTTAGCCGCGGCATAGTGGCTCATAAAATGGCTCTTAGTTTTTCTTTCTTTTTTTTCTTCAAGTACAAACTTTTAGCTCATAGCTCCGCCATCTCTTGACCCAATTTGAGATCTAATTACAGGTTTGGACTCAGGAGGTCTAACCCTTTCGATTGCTGTATTTGACTCTGTCCATGGTCTCATAGATTAATTTACTCTAATCCTGCCTAAAAGAATTTCAAGTGCGCGGCTACTGAGGATTCCCTCTTGTTTAATCTTCAAAACGTTGAAAAGTGACCTCCAAATCATTAAAATGCTATAATCTTTGGATTTAAATATTTTGAATAAACTGCTAGTTTGAATTGGTATGTCTAAGTGCAAAGCTGCAATCTCCCCCGTTGAAGCGTTTAGGTACTTACAACGATAAAATCCGGGGTTGGATTTCTCACGGTGGACAGAATACTGGTAGCTCATTGTGTAGCTGCATAAAAAGAATATTTGCGCTGTGCCCAACGCAAAGTCGAGACCCGAATTTTAGCATTAAAATATCTTATATTTTCTTCTAAGCCACAGGGGACCAGATATAGTTAGGGTAAAAACTCTCACTGTTTAAGAAACGCATGCACTATTCATTGTATAGTGGACATGAAGAATTGTTTTATTTTATTTATACATAACACATAGTTGTTATTTTTTGTACACTCTGCGGCTCATTATCATATAGGGTTAAGATCACGCTATTCCCAGAGAATTTTAGATATAACCGAACTACGCGGTCCGTTTCCCCTTTAACTGGCTGATTCCAGAACTAATTGTTTAAACAACCCGAACTTCTTTCATCACGACTTGCAATGATAAGTACCAGCATCAAAGTTATGAGAATTTAATTACATTAAAGACTTTCAGGGGTTTCTATTACAAATGTCGTGTACTAAATAAAAGTAAAGGTAAGGGAAAGAACAAATGAAAGAAGCTAAAGAAAAGACGATGTTAAGAATAAAACAAGAAAAAATCTATTGAAGAACAGGGGTCACTAAGGCATTTGTCCTTTTGATTCTCTAAGCTTCGTATGTGGAAATAATTCTCTTACGAAACGGACATCAAGACATCAAACGTAGTAAGTAAACTAAGTTAGTTTTGCTAGAAGTTTTTGAAACTTCTTCAATCACATCACTTTATTGACATAAAAAGTCATAATTTATTTAATCTTGTAACGAACAAAGAATGGAAAACAGAAAAAAAAATCTTTAACAAACTTGCATCTGCTGTTTAACTGTGTTATTTCCCAGAGCTTCAGTTTAGCAAAATAATAGTAATCAAATCTCCATTTCCAATCGGGATT